TAAATTCAAAACATTACAAAAAGCTGATAGCAACAAAAGAACAGAACAAGTAGCGTGTATAAAATGTGAACTCACGAGATATCCTGAACTTGTGATCCGTCATTACCCCAGTTAGGATTTGAGTCCCAGTTTGACGTAGAATCATCATTAGTCGGTTTTGAGGATGTAAATTGGCCTTTGTTCCTTTGCATCCTGCACAAGTTAAATTAAACAGATTATGTTAATTCAAACATATTTACTGAAAAAGCTCAATAGCATATAACATTTTTAATCAAAAGGGGGAGGGGGGCAGTACCTCAGAGCAACTTCCTTACGAACAGTATAACGTATTTTCTTATCGAAATTCCTTTCTTTTCGCTTCTCGCGGAATCTTATAAGCGAGGCTATTCGCTGAGGAACATTGAGCTTCGGCGGGGTACTAGATGCTTCCTGTCAGTCAACAAGGGAGATTAAAGTAGTGCCAACAGTGAAACAGAAAACAAATTCCGATAATATACATACTCTGTTACTGACAGCAGATATAGGAGCAGCTGGGATGTTAGGAGGCACTTCACGCCCCCCCAACAGTAGAAGTACCGCTTGAACCTGATATAAACAGAACATAAATTTATATCTCAAACAAGACTTTTATATATGCTATTTTTTCTTCTCCCTTCAGAGTACGGGGAGAGAAAGCACTAAACACAGTGACTAATGATCCACATGGTTCAGATTTTGATCAACGAAACAATTCAATTAAGCCAAAAACTACTTGTACACGGATCTGGGGACATGGTATGTAGCCCTATTGTAAGCATATACAGTTGGGTAATTGAAATGACTATCAGATAACAAATATTTGAGTTGGGTCAAGTGTGGAGTTGCTTCACAGGTTCCATGCAGGTAAAATCTACGATAAAAAAATGTACAATGTGAACTGGTTTAAGAGATTAACTATGTAAACTAAACATCTATATAAGCTTTACGAGACAACCTTTAAGTACCACTTGATAAGGAGACAGCTGGAATTGGGTGAGAACCATGTGATAAGTTAATAACTCGAAACGACCATGTCTCTTTATTTCTAGGCAATATTCCATCAATCACATTCATAAAAAATTTACCTTGAACACATCTCGACACAGAAAAAATAAGCATCGGTCTATATTTACACTTGGCAATAAAATTCATTAATTTATTACCATACTAAACAAAGCAACTTAGCGTTGCTTACTTCCCTTTTCAGTACGCTTTCAATACTACCGAATCAACAGTGCATCATATCAGTCGAGATTACGAAAAATGAAAGTAGAGAGGAAAAACGATGACACTATGAAGCTCAATTTCAAGAACCTTCTCTGGAGACACCGAGTCGAACACGTAAACTTGCCCCTGAAAGGAAAGGGTGAGCTGATTACTATTCTCACTGCCACCAACCGGGATCAGCCCATCAGGGTTGTTGGATTGGTTCCCCATGCTATTCGCATCCCCATCCATAACTTCATTAACCCCATCAGTGTTACCCATGTTATTATGGTCCCCATTATCATCTTGATCGATATCGTCTCCATCATTCATATGATGATGCAGCCCATGATGATGCTGATCTTCCAAGTAATGCATCATGCCAGGTTCACTCCCATGCATCCCATCCATCTTCTCTGTAAAGTAAAAAAATAAATAAATAAATAAAAATAAAAATGAGCTCCCACAGCACAATTACAGTGTCCAGAAACCAACACATTCAATACTTAGAACTAAATTTCATTCTTGTACCAAATAAATAAATAAAACATCCACAGAATGCAGCTCATTTCACAGCACGATTAAGAATTGCTGCAACTAAATTGTAATAATAAAAGAAACGATAATTTTTTATGCAAAATTGAAAATAAATAAGAACGACATAATTCGACAACAAGCAAAATGTATAAATGAATTGAGCTGATTATAAGTAGATTGAAACTATTAAAAATGGGCGGATAAGAAATTTACGAGCATGAGAGACTCGCAGCCGGCGGGATGGGCACGGAGGAAGGGGGCGGAGAGCGGTCGGATCGCGAGTGCGGGAGAATGGCCGGCGGCGATTGAATGGAGATTTGGGGAAGATGATGATGAGGATCGGTGGAGAGCGTTTTCTGTAATTTCTAGGGCTTGCGGAGGGCTTTTGAATTCTGCAAATTAAAGCAAATGTGCAATTAGGATTTAGGAATGATATCCTTTTGCTTTTGTTTTTTATGCTATTTTGTGTAAGTGTATTATAGTCCATAAATGGTAAACTATTCTATCTTTTTCTTTTTTTGACTGGAAATAAATGGGAAACTTTATTGACTATGAAAACATTTCCTTATTATTAGGACAGAAATTACTAAATATAATTTGGGGTGGTATTGGAATTTTTTCATTTTAAATAAATATTCATAAGAAAAATAGATGAAAAGGTTCAAATTGGTGGAACTGTCAAACATTAACAAATTTGTGAATGAAAAGAAGAAAAAGGCGACTCACAATATTTTCAAAATAAAGAATTGTGTAAAATAATATAAACATTAAATTTGAATTGGCATAGTTATAACAAAGCTCTCTTGCAAAAGTCTATCTCCTGAGCAGAAAACCCGAAATAGAAAAAAGAAAACCCTCGAGCAGAAGCCATTGTAATCGCCTCCTCTTTCCTTGAGCAAAATTCATTGTCGTTGCCTCCTCTTCATAGGGCCCTTCGTGCGGTCCGTTTTCGGCCACTGCTGACCGCGAAGCTCGCCCCTCTTAGAGTCAAAGATCCCATGAGTGTAGGGCACACCGATTTAAAAGGTGCATATGTCATTGTGCATGACTATTCGGGTTCCGAGTAAGGCTAGCTCGTCAAAATTCGACCCGCCTCCGCAACGTTGGTTGGGGTCGAGGTAAGATTCCCTTTCCCCTCTCCATGTCTCTTTAGCTCTGTCAGGGTTTGGTAGGGTGGTTTGGCGTAGGCCTTCGGCGGGTGGTTGGTGGTGTGGTTGGGCTGGTCGATGAAGATTGTGATCAGAACTACCAATGGAAGGGGTGGGAGGGGGGAGGTCGTCAGCCAGCAAGCGGTCTCAACTTCAGAGGCAATCCGTCCAGGAAAAGTTTTAGTCGTCTGGTGCGGTTTCAGCTAGTCGTGTATGCACTGAAGTTTCTAGAGCAATGCTAGAGCCGGAGTCTTATCAGAGTGGGCGGTTGTCTCTGGGTGTTAAGCCGCAATGTGTTGCAGATTATCTCGCATGTGGAGAGGAGGGTGTTATTCCACCTAATTTGTGTTATGTGTATCACAAATTGTGTTGATTACACGATCGAGTACTTAAGAACTGACTGAAGTGTTGAGTTCATACAATATTAACTAAAGTAGAAAACAAATTACAACTTAGGAACGAAAAGATTAAAGTTGAGACGAGTAAACTCTTTCCGCAAGACAAATACGCTCTGTGTAGTGTCGACGGGTCTGTGCGTAAAGTCCCCGAAGCTATAATGGCTATTCGCTCTGAAGTTGTAGCACACCAGTCTTCGGAGTTCCGGCGAACAAGGACAGAGCGGAAAACTGAGCAATTTATATGATGCGTAAGGCTTTCAGTATTGAATGATATACAGTTATATGCGTTGTTTCATCTACAACTTCTACACTGTCTTATTTATAGGACTTCCAACTAAGTAGGAGATGACTATTTAGATTCTAACAACCTACTTATGGTTGTTGTAACTGGGCAGTATTAGGCGTTAACTAACCTTCATTCCACCTAGTAACCGATGAAACGATCAGGTGGTAGACATGTGAAAGGTCACACGTTCAGTTTCAATGTATCTAGAAGTTCTCACACGGGTTGTGTCAAAACTCTAATATAAACCAACTCGATTTGGATTTTACCTTAGGCTTCAGAATTGCAAATAAATTTGCACCAAAAATATATAATGGTTGGACCCAATACCCAAGTCTTTCAATAAGACCAATATCAGCCCATATCGTCCAAGGCCGTCGAAGTCCAGCCCACAATCCAATTGTCAAGTACTAAGTACCAAGGACTAATGCTCAAGGCCCGGACCCAAGTCCCAGGCCCGTACTCGTGCCCGAGCTGACCGGCTGGCTGGCCGTCTAAGCCAACACCAACATTCGGTGCATAGTTTTTTTTTTTTTTTTTT